ACATGATGTCGTAATACTCGGTGACTTCAACGTGCACTTCACTATTCCTGTGCCGGGACGGATTGGGTCCCTCGTTATGCCGGGGCACGGGAAATTTCCCGAAGGTTTGCACAAAATCCTCCGATCTCAAGACCTTTGGGCCCCCTCTACATTCACAGATGTGCATGTCGGCCCCTCTTTGACCTGGCTTGCACCTTCCGGCGGACCTGGCTCGCGCATTGATTTTGTGCTAGTGCCCAGTTCGTGGATCGTTGGTCCTGGAGGATCATGCGTCCAGCTAGACCTTGATTGGGGACAGGGGCACACTGATCATTATGCAGCTCAAGTTGACGCTTCAGCCATAATCCGTGCCCCTTCCCTGTCTGCGCCTCCTTCAAGGATAGATCGCGAGGCTATGTCCACGCCTGAAGGCCAGCACATCCTCGCTGACATCTGGAGGAATGCACCCAGTGTACCCTGGTCCGTCAATCCGCATCGGCACTGGGCGACTCTGCAGGCTTACATGAACCAGGCTCTCTCCTGTGCCTTTCCTAATAGACGAGGTCATTGCAGGTCTACGCACTTTGGTGAGCACACATGGCACTTACGTCAGCGAAGGGTCTGGCTCCGACGACAGATCCTACGGCGACGGGACAGACTTGTTCCGGCGGCCTTAGCAGCGCCTTTCAGGGCCTGGAAGACCTCGTTGAGCCTCTCTGTCATCGAGATAGCGGAGGTGTTTCGTATGCTCTCTCACAGAAGGCAAATTGCCAGCTGCGCTGCCGAGCTGAAGCAGACGAAGAAGGCCCTTCGACAATCTATAAGAGGAGATGTGAACCGGCACATAACCAGTGTTGCTGCAGAGGCCGAGCACTGTCCTACTGCCGAGGCAGTCCGCCGACTCAAGCCAATACTAGGTCCGCCCAAGCGAAAGGTTCGCACACACAAGGGCCTCCCTCTCGTCCTCAAACAAGACGGCACACCTGCGATGTCTTCAGAAGAGGTTGAGGAGGCTTGGATTGCACACTTCGCCGGAATTGAAGACGGCTCCAAGGTCCAGCCAGTTACCCTCGCCCAAGAATGCATAGATCGCCAGCTCGCAAGGGACCTTGATGATTTCATCTTGCAGAGAGAAGACATTCCAAGCCGTGGGGAGCTTGAACAGGCCCTCCGCGATACGGCTCCGCGCCGTGCGAGTGGACTTGATCGCTTGCCGGGGGAGGCGCTCCATTTTGCAGCCCCTGAAGCCTCTCTCTGCCTATTTCCTCTGCTTCTCAAGGCCAGTTTCAGGATCGCAGAACCGGTCCAGTTCAAAGGAGGCAGTTTAGAGGCGGTTTGGAAATGCAAAAGCTCGCCTGCCTTGTGTTCGTCGCACAGAGGAATACTCATTTCCTCGGTTGCAGGGAAAGCCTTTCACAGAGTCCTCCGGACTCGGTGCTTGGGCCCCCTCGCCAGTCTCGCGTCTCCGCTGCAGCTTGGAGGGCTGCCTAAGTGCCCAGTGACTGCTGTTTCCCACTCCGTGCGCATGTTTGTATCTGCGGCCCGAAAGAGACAGCAACCATTTGCGGTCTTGTTTTTGGACCTGCAAGAAGCCTTCTATAGGGTCTGTCGCCCTTTGCTGACAGACACCGCGCTCTGCGACGAGACGATTGCCCACATTGCCTCCACAGTCAAGTTGCCTCATGGTGTTCTCCATGAGCTGCACCGGCACCTCGCAGGGCCTTCAGCCATGGATGGCAGTGGCGCGCCACTGTCGCTCACAAAGTCAGTCGAAGAGGTGTTAGACTCCACTTGGTTTAGGTTCAGGGCGGGGCCTTCGTTAGTCCAGACGGGCGTAGGAAGCCGCCCAGGAGACAACTGTGCAGACGTCATATTTTCGTTTCTGTTTTCGAAGGTCCTTGCCGAGCTGTCTTCAGACCTTGCCAGCCAGGGGTGCCTTACACAGCTGCCATTTGCTCCGGGGATGATTGACGACATCTTCCCATGCGGTGCCTCCACCCAATCGCTCAACTTGGCCGACGCCACCTGGATGGATGACCTGGCCCTCATGCTCCTTGGGCGATCTGCCGATACGATCGCCGACCAAGCGGCGACAGCGACGGGCCTACTCTTGGATGCCTGCCTCTCCAGAGCACTCCTGCCAAACCTCACCCGAGGTAAGACAGAGCTCATTCTTGTGCCGGCGGGTCCCGGGTCTAGGAATGTCAGGGCTCAGCTCTTTAGAGATAAGGACCCAACTATCGCCATTCCGTCACGCCTTTGGCCAACGGCGAGGATCCGCCTTGTCAACTCGTACAAACACCTGGGTGGGATCATCCACTTTACCGGGGATTTGGCCAAGGAAACCCGTTCTAGGATTGGCATGGCCCACGATGCCTTCCAGAGACGCAAACGACAAATCTTTGCGTCACCTTCAGTTCCATTTGCCGCGAAGGCCACCCTCTATAGCTCCCTGATCCTATCGGTCCTTTTGCATGGTGCTGGCTCCTGGCCCACACCCAGTGGATCCGCCCTTGCATCCCTGAGTTCTGCCCATGAACGCATGGCTGCTCACATGTGCCGGCCCACATGGGACTTTGAGGAAGCCCTTCATGCGGGTCGCGACCAGACATTAGCCCTTCTTGGACTTCCATCTCTACAGGTCTTGCTCCACATTGCCCGTCTTCGGCATTTGATGATGTTTGTCCGGCTTGGGTTGAAGGAGCTGTGGGCACTAGCACACTGGGAAGGACAATGGCTTGCTGCTACTAGGTCCTCTCTCGAATGGCTATGGGCTCACTCGGCTTCGCATCATTCCTACTGCACCTGGACAGAGGCCTGGCCCCCCTGGCTTCACATGATGCAGCAGACGCCAGGACGCTGGAAGGCTCTTCTCAGACGAGCCCAACAGCAAGCTGTCGCTGAAGAGAGGTGGGTAGCAGCCCGACAGAAGCACTATGCCCTCCTGGGACAGCAGCTTAAGGCCCAGGGAGCGGTGGTGCATGGGGCGGCACAGGACCACCAGGATTCAGAGCACTGCTGTGCCCCATGTGGGATGATCTTTGCCACTAAGCAGAGATGGTCGGTCCATGCCTTTAAGTGTCACGGTCGCTATCGGGAAGGCCGAGGCATCCTGACGGGTTTTCAGTGCCAGGCATGCATGCGCACATATACAAGCAACATACGCCTTTGCCGGCACTTGCATCACTCCAGCACATGCCGAAACCAGCTCCTTGCTATGGGCCATTCGTGCGCCGTGCAGCCAGGTGTTGGCCACCGCAAAGAGGATGACAGTCGAGCCGGGATGTGCCCCACCCTTCTCGGGGAGGGTCCCACTCTCCCTCCCCCTGCTGTCGAGCTCGAGGACAGAGACTTCCTCCCTGTTGCTGAGGTTTGGGAGTGCCTTCAATGTGTTGAGTTTGACCGACCGGCAGCTGCCATTCCTCCAGCTGAGCTTTGGGAACGACTACGACACGCCTTCTCTTGTGTCTGTGCTCCTACGGATCGACTAAGAGTCACAGCCATTGCTTGGCATAGTCAACTACAGAACCGACCAGCTGGGGATCCTCTACTGCATTGCGCTTTGTGGATTTCTCAAGCTGACATCGTGCACTGGCTGGTTCCCTCACCAGCCACTCGGCCGAGTGCCTTCCGTACCTTCCGCGATGCGGAGTCGGTTCTGAGCATACTTGACGTGACTTCCATTTGCTGTGGTGCGCCTGAGGTCGATCCAGATGCTCTCACAGTCATCCACGTCAGACCGGACCAACGTCCTAGTCACCAAGGCACTGACGAGTGCCGAACTGTTGACTACAGCCACACAGAATGTCTAGAGGGTTTCCGCTCGGGACACCCGCCCTCCTTCCTTGAGGGTCCCTTCGATGATGTGGCCTTTGTCCTGGACTTGTCTGGTCTGCCTTTACTTTCTCATCCACCGGTCATGCAATCGAACACCAAGTCGGCTTCCTCCGCACATGAGCTTGCGACGCTGTCGGCCGATCTGGTTCGTTTCTTTCTGCGAGTCGTCCTGCTTCAGGTGCCTGCACTCCTGCTTGTGTCCAGCACGGCTGACGTTGCCGTCCATGCCATTGCTTCACTCCAGGGTGTCCGTACCAATGTACAGAAGGGATCGACGACCATTTTTGTCGCCGGGACGCCGGCATTCCTGTTTCACTTTCTCAGTTCGTAATTAGTGCAAGCCCACGGGCTGCAGCCAACCTGGATTCTGTGCCCCAAAAGCGAGAAAAGCGAGAATGTCAAGGATCCCTCCATACTTGAAGAGTTGACAAGAGGCCTAAGGGTTCGGGCTACAGGAAAGGATCCCTTTCTCGAGTGCCAAAGAGACCCTTGATCGAAGACTGCAGGATTTTGAGGTTTGAGTTTACCACGTCTAGGGAGGACGCTTGAAGGAGCCTGACAAAAAGCCCTAATCGGAACCCCTTTACAGGAACCCTTGCAGAAACCCCAAAGGCAATCCTAAAAAGAACCGGGAACGAAGCCCTTAAAGGAGTCCAAAGGGGAATCCTGGAAGGAGACCTGAATCCCAAAGAAAAAGATCTGGGCTCCCGCGCTCTTCCGAGAGAAGGGGAGGCAGGGAGCAACCCTGGCGGCTGCTCGCATAGGGAACTTATGATTTACGGCTTTTGTGATTTAGGGATCAGGGTTTTGGGTTTTGGGTCTTGGGGTTTCGGGTTCAGACCTTGTGGTTTGGGGTTTGGATTTAGGGTGGGACTTCTTGGGACGGCATTTAGAATTTAGAGTTTGCGAGCAAGTTCCAGGCTTTGCCTGCAGGGTTAAGGACGGGGATTGAGTTACTGCTACGAGCATCTACTTGTAGAAGAAAAAGCATGAATCAAATTCAAAGAACCGTGGGAAGATCGGACTTCAGCATGCTAGTAGGCGATAAAGGATTGAAACTTGCTGGGAGTTCTGCATGCTACTACCACCGGCAAGTCTGCGGGAGGCTGTTCGCGTGAAAGCGATCTGCCTAACGACGTCCATGACACTGCTCCAGACTTCTGCTCTTGAAACTCGAACTCCCCTCACCGCAGCCGTCGCTGCAGCGCCTCCCGAAGGAGGACGGCAGAGGCAACAGCTGGGCCCTTGGCCTCGCGTTGTTTAGGGCTGCGGGTCTTTCAAGCGGATCAAGATCGGGGAACACAGACCTGCACGTTTTCCACTTAGGACTTCTATTTCATTGCGGGCTGACCGATGGATTTGGGCAAACTCCTTCCGTCACTTGTGGGATCCGAAGACAGGTACCCCAACAGAAAACTTCGCAGCAGAGACTCCCATTCACAAACGAAAGAGAAATGCCCAACTGAACCACCGCCTGCGCCGCTTTGATGGCCGCTGCAAAGCTGAGGATGTCGGGCTTTACCTGCGAGACCTGCGGCTTTCGATCTGTTGTTGGGCTGCTTTCGATCTCGGGCCTCGGGATATCTTAGGATGTCTGACGACCTGACTTGGGCTTCTGGGTTTGGGGATCTTTGGAGTTTTGGGATACTTGGGTTCAGGGTCCAGGACGGTCCTGGGCACCTGGCGATTCAGGTCTTTTGAGGTTTAAGGTGGTCGTGTGATCGTTGTGAGCTCATGTTCCAGTCGATGAGACAAAAACTCTGAGAGTTACCTGAGCAACCCTCGATCAAATCACCCTAGGTACAGCCCAAGATACGTTGAGAGTAGAGCATCCGCGCCTCCGCCTCCTGCAGCAGCTGCAGGCTCCTTGCCCATCTTCGTGATCAAGGCTTTGCTGTGGCAGGTGTGTAAAATTACGGGCTCTGTTGCTTTGGATTAAGCTTAATTACCAGAGAACCTACCTTCTCCAATAGATCTAGCTGGTATTCAAGGGCCTTGATTTCAAGAAAATAGAGGGTCAGCCTACACTGCTGTGCTCAAACCCTCAACCTCCTACCCTTCAGGTCCAGCGCCACTGTGCCGAAGGGGGTAGCGCTGCCAGGGTGGCATTGAAGCTGGCCTGGTCCGCCTGCATGCCGGCGAGTTTATGTAGGGTTTCGTTGGAGTTTCGCTCTCGCAGTATCAACTACTTGTCCTCCACCACTCAACACCATGCTGTCTGATGCAACGCCAAGATGTACCAAACTTCCCCGAACCCTGAAACCCAACCCGATTCAAAACTCCAAATTAGGCCAAAGTCTTACTTGTACTCAACAGACCCTTCCACAGGGCGTCGTCTCAATTCGACCCCGGTGCTTCGGACGCCCACAAAGCGAAGAACAGCCCTCGCCTTCAGCGCCTTGCGCGTCAGCTCCTCACGCCGGGGACGTTTGCTGTCTGTGGTTCTTGCTTGTTGGGAGCGGGGATAAAATCAGAAACTTACTGTATTGCTGTTGTGAAAGATTGAAATCAAGGGCTCTGCGAGGTGTCGTAAGGTTTCAGATCTAAATCACATCGCCTTTCCTTCGGTGCGTTGGCTCAGCTGTTGGTTCCACCCGAAATCTGCGATCAAGGCCAGCGACCCCTGTTCTGCGCTTCCGTGAGAGCTGTAGAAGTTCGATGTTGAGTTTCCGGGGGTCGTGTTGCCTCCAAACCGTAAAACGGCAAACCTACACCCCAAACCCCATTCATGATCCCGACTGGTGTGGTCCTGCACCCGTCTGAACGCAAGAAACCCTACTTGAAGGATCATGGGACTTAGTAAGTAGGGTTATAAGTACCTTAATTAGGGTTACAAGTGGATATAACTATAGTTGCCTTACTCATAACCCTACTTACTAAGTCCCCTGATCCTTCAAGTAAACCCCCGCCGCCTCCATCAGAGCCAAGCTCGCTTGCCAGGCACCGCGTGCTCCGGCCGCCCGGAGCGCGGTGTTGAAGCTGACCAGGTCCTGCACTTGGAGGATCAAAGGACTCACCAGGGCTCCATCGAGTTTTGGAGCTGTGTGGGAGTTTATGTGGGGATAGTTACTAAGAGCTAACGTAGTTACCCTGCTTGTAAATACTTAACTGGGGAACTTTACAGATGTGTAACCCTATCCAAAACCTCCCGTAACGCCGTAGGTTCTATTCACGAAGCTCTTTCATCTCTGAATCCGAAACTTCAAGTTGCCAAAGTTCTAAACCGCAAATCCCCCAAGTCCCAAAGCTCGAAACCCTAAACCCAAAAGCCTCAAAGCGAAACCCAAAACCCCGAACCCTAAAGCAAGACCCTGAAGAACACCAGTACTCGCAGTAAACCCCACCCCACAGAGGCCCAACCCCGAAACCCGAAGCCCCACCCAAAGCGCCGAACTCACAAACCCCAACTCCATACCCCACGAGCCCAACCACAAAAACCTAGATCCCTAAACCCCAACAACAAACAAATAAAGAACCGCCAGGGGAAAAGAGCAGACATCGCGCGGTCCGGCTGCAGCTCATCCGAGCACATCAGCTCCAGGCATTCAAGGGCGTAGGGCCAGAAATCTCCTGGCCCCCGAAAGCTCTAAGGGTTTTCCTGAGAAGGTTCCGTGGTTTTGGGATGGTTGAGGTAGGGAATTACCGGGTTTTTGGGTTGGGAGTTTACGGCTTTCTGAAAGGCTTTAGGGGTTCAGGGGTCTGGCGAGTTACCGATAAGCTTTAGATGCTGAGGGGGTTTGAGGGGAGGCTTTGGTTGAAGACCTTCGTGGGCTTAAGGGTCTTGGGGCTTGAGTGCTTTTTTAGCTTTGTGGGCTGAAAAGGCTCTGACAAGGGCTTTATTCTTTAGGGGTGTTGGGGTTGAGAAGCTATCGGGGTCCAAGGGGGTGCCTTGATTTCAGCGGTTTTTGGGCCTGCAAGAGTTCAGGCCCTAACCGCTGGCATGGAACAAGCCCAGTCACAGAGGTCCTTCCCAGTCCACGAAGGAGCTGATGGTCGTATTGTAGGAGATGACGTTAGGAGCGATGGGGCCTTTCAAGCTTGTTAAGGTCTTCTGCAACTCCAATCACTTGCAACTTCAATCTTGTGCCCTACAACTTTGGTGTCGCGACGAAGTATCGTTGGGCTCTGGGGCTACAGGCATGCGCTCGGGTTGTAGATGTAGGCTTGAAGGTGAAACTCCGAGTAGAGTCTGCAGTTGTGGGCTGATGCCGCTTAGAAGCAAGAGCTTTGATGGGAGGCCAAAACGGGGATTTAAGATTCTTGGGGTAGGGATTCCTTAATATGAACCCTATTATGGGACCCCTAACCCCTACTAAACCCCCATAGGCTAAAACCCCTTTTGGCCTCCTATGAACCCAGATCCATGGAGCCGCGCCTTGCCGCATCTCCTCCAGCAGAAGCGCCGCGCGGTCCCAACAGCGGCCCACGGCGAGGCCGCTGAGAGTGCTGTTGAAACCTCGAGCTCTTGGCTGCAGGTTGTTTGGCTGAAGGGGCTTTTGGGTTTAGGGCTAGGGCCTGGCATTGGTTGTTATGAATTGCTTGTTGCATCGCTTCTTTCACCAGCTACCTATAGGCTCGCCAGGAGGCTGATCACATCCAGCGCCCAGCGCCGAGCGCTAGCGGATCGTAGCAGGTCTAAGCAATGCGCCCACTGGCTGCCTTACGAGTTGGGGAAAACAACAAAAGCTCCAAAATCCCTTTACTGTAAAGCCCTTGAGTCCTATTCTCCTCCAAACCGAGAATCCTATGCCCTGAACCCCGCGCCCGCAGGAGAAATCGGCCTAGAACCAACATCGGAAGCAGCAAAAGACTAGGAAGGGAAGGACATGGCTCCAGGTTGAGTCAGTTTGAGTTTTGCGTCCTCTCAGCAACCGCAGGGTTTGGGAGGTTCGTTAAGACTTCAAGGTCTATAAAGGACCTGCATGGACCTGCACAGCACCCAGCTTGGATTACTGGCTCTAGGGGGGTTCAAGGTCCACATCGCTTCAACTAGCTCAGTTTTGTGTCTGCTTAGCTTTGGGTGCTGAGAAGTTTTTGCTGGAAGCCTATGAGCCACATCTTCTACTCAAACCAAAACCTCCAGCATCACCGAACCGTCCCCGAAGCCCCTCTCAGACTGGACCTCCCAAAGCTCCCAACCTCAACCCCAAAGCCCAACCCCATAACATCGTAAGGTATACAAAACTGCCCTTCTGGCCTTGGGCGCAGGCAGAAATCCTGGGCATGGCAGCGGCTCAGAAATCGCGTGGCTTTCGGGTGTTCAGGGCGGGGTTGAGCTCTCAGGGCTTTGGGACCCAGGGCTGTGAGCCTCTTAGGGCCGTGCTCAGCTACCCGAAGTTGTAAGCTCGGAGAACTCCGAGAATTATAAGATAACAGCTGTGAACACTTATATACCATTTGAGCTCCCAAAGCTCAATAAGATAACAGCCTTGAACAAAAACAGACACTTGGAGCTGCCAAATCCTTAGGCCCCCCCCAACCAACTTTCTGACGCACCACCCTAAACTCGATGGATCGACCGTGGGCTGATGCTCATGATGCGCAACCCCTGCGGCGCCCAGCTTTACCCAGAGGCCGGCTGATGCTGATGATGCATGGTCGCTTGGGGCTAAAAGCTTGGATTATGCAGGGGCTGGCTGATGCTGATGATGCGTGGCCTGTCTGGGCTCGGAACTTAAATCGACGGTGGGCTGATGCTCATGATGCGCAACCCTTGCGGGGCCCAGCTTTACCCAAAGGCCGGCTGATGCTGATGATGCATGGTCGTTTCGGGCTAAAAACTTGGATGATGCAGGGGCTGGCTGATGCTGATGATGTGTGGCCTGTCTGGGCTCGGAACTTAAATCGACGGTGGGCTGATGCTCATGATGCGCAACCCCTGCGGGGCTCAGCTTTATCCAAAGGCCGGCTGATGCTGATGATGCATGGTCGTTTCGGGCTAAAAACTTGGATGATGCAGGGGCTGGCTGATGCTGATGATGTGTGGCCTGTCTGGGCTCGGAACTTAAATCGACGGTAGGCTGATGCTCATGATGCGCAACCCCTGCGGGAACCAGCTTTACCCACAGGCCGGCTGATGCTGATGATGCGTGGTCGGTTCGGGGCTAAAAACTTGGATTATGCAGGGGCTGGCTGATGCTGATGATGTGTGGCCTGTCTGGGCTCGGAACTTAAATCGACGGTGGGCTGATGCTCATGATGCGCAACCCCTGCGGGGCCCAGCTTTACCCAAAGGCCGGCTGATGCTGATGATGCGTGGTCGTTTCGGCTAAAAGCTTGGATTATGCAGGGGCTGGCTGATGCTGATGATGTGTGGCCTGTCTGGGCTCGGAACTTAAATCGACGGTGGGCTGATGCTCATGATGCGCAACCCCTGCGGGGCCCAGCTTTACCCAAAGGCCGGCTGATGCTGATGATGCGTGGTCGTTTCGGGCTAAAAACTTGGATTATGCAGGGGCTGGCTGATGCTGATGATGTGTGGCCTGTCTGGGCTCGGAACTTAAATCGACGGTGGGCTGATGCTCATGATGCGCAACCCCTGCGGGGCCCAGCTTTACCCAAAGGCCGGCTGATGCTGATGATGCGTGGTCGTTTCGGGCTAAAAACTTGGATGATGCAGGGGCTGGCTGATGCTGATGATGTGTGGCCTGTCTGGGCTCGGAACTTAAATCGACGGTGGGCTGATGCTCATGATGCGCAACCCCTGCGGGGCCCAGCTTTATCCAAAGGCCGACTGATGCTGATGATGCGTGGTCGCTTCGGGGCTAAAAACTTGGATTATGCATGGGCTGGCTGATGCTGATGATGTGTGGCCTGTCTGGGCTCGGAACTTAAATCGACGGTGGGCTGATGCTCATGATGCGCAACCCCTGCGGGGCTCAGCTTTATCCAAAGGCCGGCTGATGCTGATGATGCTTGGTCGTTTCGGGCTACAAACTTGGTTTATGCAGGGCCGGCTGATGCTGATGATGTGTGGCCTGTCTGGGCTCGGAACTTAAATCGACGGTGGGCTGATGCTCATGATGCGCAACCCCTGCAGGGCCCAGCTTTTCCCAAAGGCCGGCTGATGCTGATGATGCGTGGTCGCTTCGGGCTAAAAACTTGTAGGGGCTGGCTGATGCTGCTGTGGGCTGATGCTCATGATGCGCAACCCCTGCGGGGCTCAGCTTTACCCAAAGGCCGGCTGATGCTGATGATGCATGGTCGTTTCGGGCTAAAAACTTGGATGATGCAGGGGCTGGCTGATGCTGATGATGTGTGGCCTGTCTGGGCTCGGAACTTAAATCGACGGTGGGCTGATGCTCATGATGCGCAACCCCTGCGGGGCCCAGCTTTACCCAAAGGCCGGCTGATGCTGATGATGCGTGGTCGTTTCGGGCTAAAAACTTACATGATGCAGGGGCTGGCTGATGCTGATGATGTGTGGCCTGTCTGGGCTCGGAACTTAAATCGACGGTGGGCTGATGCTCATGATGCGCAACCCCTGCGGGGCCCAGCTTTATCCCAAAGGCCGGCTGATGCTGATGATGCGTGGTCGCTTCGGGGCTAAAAACTTGGATTATGCATGGGCTGGCTGATGCTGATGATGTGTGGCCTGTCTGGGCTCGGAACTTAAATCGACGGTGGGCTGATGCTCATGATGCGCAACCCCTGCGGGGCTCAGCTTTGCCCAAAGGCCGGCTGATGCTGATGATGCGTGGTCGTGTCGGGCTAAAAACTTGGATTATGCAGGGGCTGGCTGCTGATGATGTGTGGCCTGTCTGGGCTCGGAACTTAAATCGACGGTGGGCTGATGCTCATGATGCGCAACCCCTGCAGGGCCCAGCTTTACCCAAAGGCCGGCTGATGCTGATGATGCGTGGTCGTTTCGGTATGCAGGGGTTGGCTGCTGCTGATGATGTGTGGCCTGTCTGGTCTCGGAACTTAAATCGACGGTGGGCTGATGCTCATGATGCGCAACCCCTGCGGGGCTCAGCTTTACCCAAAGGCCGTCTGATGCTGATGATGCGTGGTCGTTTCGAGCTAAAAACTTGGATGATGCAGGGGCTGGCTGGTGCTGATGATGTGTGGCCTGTCTGGGCTCGGAACTTAAATCGACGGTGGGCTGATGCTCATGATGCGCAACCGGCGCAGCTTTACACAAACGCCGACTGATGCTGATCGTTTCGGGCAAAAACTTGGATTATGCAGGGGCTGGCTGGTGCTGATGATGTGTGGCCTGTCTGGGCTCGGAACTTAAATCGACGGTGGGCTGATGCTCATGATGCGCAACCGGCGCAGCTTTACCCGAAGGCCGACTGATGCTGATCGTTTTGGGCAAAAACTTGGATTATGCAGGGGCTGGCTGATGCTGATGATGTGTGGCCTGTCTGGGCTCGGAACTTAAATCGACGGTGGGCTGATGCCCATGATGTGCAGCCCCTGCGGGGCCCAGCTTTACCCAGGCGCGGTCGCTTCGAACTAAAAACTTGGATTACACATGCTGATGATGTGTGGCCTGTCTGGGCTCGGAACTTAAATCGACGGTGGGCTGATGCTCATGATGCGCAACCCCTGCGGGGCCCAGCTTTACCCAGAGGCCGGCTGATGCTGATGATGCGTGGTCGTTTCGGGCTAAAAACTTGGATTATGCAGGGGCTGGCTGATGCTGATGATGTGTGGCCTGTCTGGGCTCGAAACTCAAATCGACGGTGGGCTGATGCTCATGATGCGCAGCCCCTGCGGGGCCCAGCTTTACCCAGAGGCCGGCTGATGCTGATGATGCGTGGTCGCTTCGGCTAAAAACTTGGACTACGCAGGGGCTGGCTGATGCTGATGCCTGTCTGGGCTCGAAACTGAAATGGACGGTGGGTTGCAGCCCCCGCGGGGCCCAGCTTTGCCCAGAGGCCGGCTGATGCTGATGATGCGAGATCGCTTCGGCTAAAAACTTGGACTACGGCCGGCTGATGCTGATGATGCGTGGTCGCCCCGGCAAAAAACTTGGACGACGCAGTGGGCTGGCTGATGCTGATGATGCGTGGCCTGTCCGGGCTCGAAACTTAAATCGACGGTGGGCTGCAGCCCCCGCGAGGCCCAGCTTTACCCAGAGGCCGGCTGATGCCAATGATGCGTGGTCGGCCCAAGCTAGTATCTTTGACTGCGCAGAAGCTGGCTGATGCTGATGATGCGTGGGCATTTCGGGCTCGAAGCTTGGATCGACATTGGCTGATCCGGGGCCCAGGTTTTCATGATGCTGCTGTGCGACGTGTACACAGAGGTCCCCTCAAATTCAATCCCTCAACCCTTAACCCCAAAGAGTCTAAGACTTCAAGCAGCCGTGTTGTACTTCCTCAACTCTTAACCCCCAGAGTCCAAGGTTGTAATTCCGAAACGTCGACGCCCCGACGGAGTCCCAGTGGCGCGGTGTTCCGCGCCACGAGCTCCCCTGGCGGCGCCCGCGCAAACAGCGCCAGCGCCGCCGGCCAGGCTGAGCCGGCCTCTCATGCGTTCAGGCCTAGGGTTTAGGCGTTTTGGGGGTTTAGGGGTTTAGGGTTTTTGGGTTTAGGGGTTTAGGGTTTAGGGTTTTGGGGTTTAAGGTTTAGGGCCTTAAAATCCCGAAAGCGGGACTTTGTAGGTTTCCATAAGTGTTTCCATGTGATATGAATGGGTTCAGGCCTTAAAGCCTGTAAAGCCGCACGGATTTTCAGAATGCATATATAGGTTTAACGGTGTGCTTGCCGTGGCGGGCCCTGTGGTTTATTGAGATACTTGTCCAGGGTCCCAAGCTTTTGTAAAAGATATACGCCATGCAAAGCCATGCCTGGCGAGGCTGAACCTGAGGGTGAAGCTTTGCCGGTGTGAGGTTTCTTGCGACAGTTCGGCTTACAGCCAAGAGCCTTGTCACTAGTTATTCAAGATAGCAAGCTTATTGCGACAGTGATCACAAGCAGGGCTTTGGGGTTCCGCCTTTCCGACATTGTGAAAAAGTCCCAAGCAGATCAAAATCCTGAAAACTTCAACATTCCCCTAAGCCATAGCCCAAAACCCTAAAGTCATGGTAGTTGAAGAGCCTCGCAAGCCGCCAAGGCCGCATTGTGGCTCCGCAGATCCGGGTTCCTGTTGATGCTCTGAGTTTAGGGTTGAGAAGTTTAGGATTCAAGCCCAAAGTTTAGGATTCAGGTTTCATGCCTTGATTTCGGAGCTTTGATATGTTGGGGCTTGGGTTCACTGGGCTTTGGGTTTAGGA